CTGAATTTTTTTTTTTTTTTTACTAATTTTAATTTTCAAAACACAATTCTACAAACATTACAATGCAGGTCTCATTACGCTACTCTACTTACAGAACATTACTTGCGTTGCCTACAATACGGGTTACTTATGCTGGCAATACAATACTGAATACAGTTTCTTACAGAATATACAATTACTTGTAATACGGGCTACTTACACTGCTAACAATATTATACTCTACTTACATTACTTGCTGTACATACAGTTACTTACAATACGTTATACTGTATATTGACTTTGAGGAGGGAGGAGTACTTCTCACTAACACAGTTAATTAAGACAGATTTTCAAGATTGTATTTAATGAGTGACTTACTCATAAAATCCTGAATGGAGATGGCCAGGCTATTTAACTTGCTTGAATAAATTTAATGGCGCATAGATAAGGCAGTGTAGTTGAATTTCCGTACGTATTATTGCTATGTCGTGGGAGCTTGCAGTAATACCGAACAAGCTCTCCTCTGTGGTAGGAGAAATTTGACTCGCATTCACTTGGTTGAACCAGTTCAAGACCTTCTGGGTAAACAATTTGGTAAACATACATTCGACAAAAGAGTGCTCAATTGAATCTTTATCTCCGCAGTATAGACATTCATCTTCCGCCTTAATACCAAATCTGAATAATTCTTTCTTATTTACTATCGTTCTATGGATTAATTTAAATTGAAACTCTTTGAGTTTAGTTTCCTTTCAAATGTTTTTCAGTGATTTAAAGATCTTAGTCCATACGTCCTTTTTTAAAGAGAGTTTTTCGCTCCAACGTTTAGGGCCCGTTTAATCTTCGGTGTGAATCTTGACGTCAAGCAAATTATAGAAGTCCTTTGAGTTAGCCTTGTACAGATTAATTTGTGTCGATTCGTTGAGGGAAAAGATGTTATTATTCCCGGTAAAAAATGATTTGTTGATGATGTCGGAGCACTTGGCTAGAAACGTTAAGCGTTCCGGAATAGCGCTAACAACTTGATAATACTGTAAAAAATTGGATTCACAGGAATATTTATCACGGAACTCGTGGAATGTTAAAAAACTGCCACTTTCATTCAATAGGTCATTAATCGATAGAATAGAAAGGTGAGTTTCCCGTCCACCAATATATCTTTGTTATTAAACAATACTAACTCCTGCTTTTGATCGTACGAGTAAAGAGTTTTTAATTCATTGAAGAAGTCTAGTATCTTCTTATAGAAGGGCGGGAGGTCTTTAAAGTAATTCGTGTCGTAGTTGCACCTTAGTAGAAAGTATAAGAGGAACCACAGGGAAAAAAATCGACCAAGTGCTTTCTATTATCCAGGTCCTGTTTTTTATGTTAAAAAAAAAAATTGCACGAGCTTCTTGTCCACCAAAAATACTCCAATGTACAGCCTGAAAGTGAGAAAAATTTCCCGCCCCAGCAAATTGCATTATGTATTTTCCAACCTCGTTACCAGGGTCTTTTCCCTGGCAGGGAAAAGACCCTGGGAACGAGGTTGTGTATTTTCTCCTTGAAATTAGGGGGGGGGATGAGGGGGGGGGGAGCTAAAGCCCACCCCGTCCCTGACCCGCATTACACACCATCGCAGGTCCAACCCTGAACCAAACTGCTAAATGTCGTTTATTACTAGCTTTTTGTAACAGTTGCCAGGGTCATCTGAAAACCAAAATGGCGCGAGGAACATGGCGACGACTGTTGCTGCTTTCGATGTGGGCCATAGTTCTCCTACACATTCAGTACGTGAAGACAGAAATACGCCTACGTTGCGCAATGGTAAAGGATTGGTTTCCAAGCGATGTTAAACCTCAAACCTCAAAGCCTCCATATGTACTCGACGTAATTAGCCCAGATGGGAAGTCCGTACTTGAGGATATGTACCGTGGTGAGCCACGTTACGGACCTGAACAAGAATTAACCTACACAAGTAAGATATTTTGGATTACCTAACCTATACAAAATGTCAGATGCAAAGTCGACAGGTCACGTGGAAGAGTAGATATATAGATGTCCGGTACCTATGTTGGAATTCCCTCATGTAACTGGTTTTATCATCCTTTGTCGACAACCTTTTCATCATTGCCTGTGTGCTTGTCAAGGCCTTAGTGACCTTAGTGCCTGAGTAAGGAAAAATTTGAATTCGATCTCTAGAGAAACGGTTTCTCTCAAAAAGGATCTTCACGGTATATAGATACACATGACAAGACTGTAATATTTGTGATTTCTTGATTTGTTCTGTGAATAACGTACCAATGTTCTGTCCATTTTGTTCCCTGATTTAGTCTTCCTGAATGGCACTCACTCCGACAATGTAACAGAGATGTTTACAGGCTTTATGATTTACGTCTACAACGAATTTGAAGATGAAGAAAGTGGACATTTTGTAAAACCACTACCTGCTGGAGTATCCATGGAAGAATGTCACTTCAATCAAACATCACAATGGGTAATTACTTCCTTTGGACTATTTCAGCGTTTAATAGTTTTTTTTTGTTTTTCTTGTTTGTTTATTTGTTTTCGTTGTGGTGGTTTTGGTATTTATTTACTTGCTTAAGAAATTAGGGAGCTTAAGAAAACCACGACGGCAACGGCAACCAGAACGCCACAAAACAAAAGACTTAATGAGCAGAACAATGGTTGTGCTCGTGCGTTATAAATCTTTGCCGGTACATTTCTTTGCTGTCCTCTGCAAAACAAGAACGTGAAATGACTAAGTTCTGCGTATTTTGGAGAACGCTAACGATGGCGGCTAACTTTTCGTATTTTTATTTGGAATTGAACGCTGGCATTACATATTAAATTTTTAACTTGAACAAGTTTTGAGACCGGTAGGAACAAATCTAGACAACTGCAAAATGCGAAGGTACGTAAAATATAAATTCATTTTTTTCTAGGCGTTCTCCTTGGGGTCGCCGTCGTCATTGCTTAAGCACTCTATTCTCAAGCACTATAACCACTTCTCAATTTAACACAAAAACCCTTCTCATTTACTTTTTCCTTTAAATCACATTCTGTTTTCATTGTTCGTTTTTTTCTATCCTTTCTTTATTTTAATTTTCAATATTCATTCAGCCTTTTACTCCGATTCCTCTTTATTCGATTCCCACCATTTTCTCTTGTCTATGCTTTGTGACGAAAATATCTTATTTAAGTACGGAAAAGAAAGGTCAATTATTCATTCACGAGCATTACGTGGATCGAGCTAAAACGTGAGTCACCGAGTAATTCTCGTACAATTAATTTTTCAGTTTTAAACTACAATCGTAGGTATGCGCAGTATAAGAAACTTATGCAGTAAATCTCTGAAATTAAAAGGAATATATTCAGCAGATGGAGTAAATGTAGAGCATAGTGCCAAGTCAGCCAGTGACATTATCTAGGAATCATCCCGTAGTACATGAATTTTTTTTTTCGTTTTTCAGATTGAATATGTGGAAAATTCTACTTCCACCAACCGGAGCAGTCTCCAAGTGAAATGGAAGTCACCCAAAAAATATCCAGCAGGAAAAATTACCATAAGGTAAATATTGTATTGTTAGTTGAGTGAATAAGACTACGAGTAGTCCCTGTTTTGCTTAGTCCGTCGATCGAGCGAGACCGTACATAAACCGCGACGAAAAATTGGCTGCGTGAACTCCTGGTGGCGAGCCTAGCCGCGATTTCGCGCGGCCATTTTTTCCCCTCGCGGTTTAATTTCTTTCGCGTCACGCACGACGGACTGAGCGAAAGAGGGACTTCTCGTAGTATTGTGTGGGATCGAAGATCAAACGCCCTTCGCACTACGAGGTCAGATGTGTCTTAGGCCGTTCCTTACGTGTTCATTTCCATAACCTTAACTATAGGGACGAGGTTAATTTGAAAAATTTTAAACCAAAGTCAAAATTAATAATATCATCATATGTTTATAAGTTCATGATAAATTCCAAAGCTAGCGTTTTGAGCGGTATTAGACCTTGCCAGGGAAAACATTACCAAACGTCAGTTTTATTTTAGGCAGCAACCTGATTTTCAATTAATTTTTCAGCTTCTTTGTTTTATTGTGGCATAAACTGAAGTTCAAAGAAAGATGCGAATAAATGGCACCGTTTATAATTGTCCTTCCGGACTTTTAAAACCAATCTTTCTACCTTCTTCATTTAGTGCCAGTGTTGTCAAGGAGCAAGGCGTTTACTGGGAAGGAATCACTTTGACTCTAAATCGTAAGTTTTACAAGAGTTGATTCTTGCCCCTCTCTCTCCATGTACAACCCTCTCTGTCATTCATGCAAAGAGTATCAGAACCACGAAATGAATCTTGGCTGGGTACATATATAGTACACTCTGAGACCGATAAACAAGACACGACGACATCATATGAGATAAGAATCACGTCGTGATGCCCATCTCCAGGACGCTACTGTGTTTATTATCCTTCAAGTATTTTGTTGCAACACGCACAGTTTTGAAAACTGGGAAATATCACTCGGATATCCCCCAGTTTTCGCTGGAGCATATTCAGTCAAGTGACGGCCTCAAGTGACACGTTTAGACCAGTCGCGCGCCAGCGAAAATATTTGATGGATTATAAGCTAGGATATTTGTCCTTGTGCTACGCTCTCGGAAAACTGTCAGCTTTGAGGAACAGATCATGTCCAAGTTTTGGAAAATGGGGTATATTATTTAGATATTCCCCAGTTTTATCTGGGGCATATTCTGATCAGACACCCTAACCCTAAGTGTTTAGACCAATCACGCGCGAGCGAAGATATTTGATTTATTATAATACAAGTCGTTAGCCAGCGGTCGGGCGGAATATAGGTCAATTGCTATGTATGTCAACTATATCCAGTATCTAACACAATTTAACAGGTACCGCGTTCCAGTGCATTTAAATTTCCATCGGCGATTGAAACAGTTGGTTTGAGAGGCTACCGGCAGATGAGAACCGACCCCAATGTATAAACGTTTTGAGACCATTAACCTGAACAGTCTCACGGATGCCGTCGTTTCTCTCTTTTCTCGCCGCTAATACGCCCGATAACAGGCTTTATTATATGGCAAGCCAAGATGAACCAAATCTTGCGCTGTGATTGGCTACATATACCCGAGCGGGCAAGATGGAGCTTGCTCGCTCGGGATTACCTGCTGTGTCCCGCAAGAAAATAGTGTTCTTTTTCTATATAATCAATCCTTTATTGACCAAGCTTGTCAAAAAAATATTTGACTCCGTCTCAGTTCCATAAACACGTAAAAAAAACACTTGAGAACGACGCCAATATCCAGCCATCTTGACCGAACAAGCTTGGTCAATGATCGTTACCCATATGTATCTGTCAGATAATAACCTGGTTTGTTTCTTTTCCAGATTTGTGTCCCCTACCAGGTTGTGCCGATGTTGAGGATTGCCCTCATGGTCTTGCCAAGACCAAATTTGGATGTCAAACTTGTGAATGTGCAGGTTAGTGTATTGGGTTTCGGAGAAGATAAAAGGTCTAATGAGGAGAACAATGGCTGTGCACGTGCGTTATAAATCTTTGTCCATTTCCTTGTCGCCCTCTGCAAAACAAAAACGTGAAATGACCAAATTCTGCGTGGTCTGAGGAACCCGAAAGACAACGGCTGATTCTTCGTATTTTTATTTGGAACTGAGCGCTGTACCTCATTGCATATTTAGTCTGAGCACGTTTTCTGAGCCATTGGCGTAGTGAAAAGATCTAGACAATTGGGAATTTCGCTGGTAAAATATAAATTCATCTGTGACTAGGCTTTGTCCTCGCCGTCGCCGTTGCTTAAGCTCCCTGATATTTCGGAGGGGGGGACTTTCAATCGGGATATCGATGTTTATTTATGGATTCTGGGTACTAGTTCCTTTTGCTCCGAGCTACGAGTTTCAAAGCTACAACCCGTGCTTCGCTTTAAGAGCAAAACGAAATGGAAGGGAAATGGGCGGGATAGGAAGAACGTGTACCATCTTGTTTTCGATTCACGATTGATTCACGATTGATGCTTGTTTCTTTTTGTTGTTTACAGGTGCTGGAAGCAACACTATTGGTTTCATCAGTCTTCTGGTCATTGTGCTTGCGTTGCTCTCCAATTTGAGATAAATTGTCACCGTTTTTTCATGAGAAGAAAAGTCTTGCGATCGCAGTTTCAAGTTCCTAGTTAGTTGTAATAATTAGTCAAGCAACAGAAGCTTGTGAAGCTTGTGGGCGCCTTTGTATTCCCTATAGCGATGTCTAACACAAAGACTTAAGTGACTTATTGTCCCAAAGTTTACTGGCCGTTTTTTCGTCAGTGATTGTTTCCCTAATGTAACAGGGTCTGGTGGGCTTTGACTGACAGCTGATAATTGGTTAAAATCGTAACTATGAGCTTAGAAATAACGCAGTTTTTTCTATCAAATACATGAGATCTGCAAAATTTATTGGTAGTTGAGAAATGGACTGAAATTTGAAAAGATCGATGAGAAATTGCCGAAAATATCTCTTATAACTCAGTCGTTAAAACCACCATCCAGACACTCGTATGACCAAGCTTACGCGGGACCGTATTGGTCCCGTATTAGTCCCGTAATAATTTGGGATTAGTCTCGTATTAGTCTCGTATTAGTCCCGTATTGGTCCTAACACCCCCTCCCCCTCCCCCCTCACCCCCGATTCGGTCACTCGCAAAAGCGCAAATGAATGATAAGAACAGCACAAGCGTTTTTCGATTGTTTGTTGAACTCGAGGAATCACCTCAACGTAACCATGAGCACAAGCACCAGAACGATAGTCAAGTTTATTTACATTAAAACTGAATAACTAACAAACCTCACAACTATTACGTCAAATATATTGTGCCAGGTAAACACTATTAACTAGCTTCTGAGCATGTTTCACTGCTCATTTGTAATGCTAACTACTCTATATTGTACAGATGCGACCCGTGTAGGCCGAATTTAAACCATTAACCAATCGATACATGATACAGAAATCATATTTCACTGCATTGCTAGAGATCGCTGAAGACATCTTCTCACTACTGCTACCGTTACTAACTACTCGCTCACTACTGCTACTTACTAGTCTTAGGGTTACTTCACTGAGTGTTAGAACTTCCTATGTGTATATACATTTATGTCAAGTCGCGTTCGAAACAACTTTGAAGCATTGTAAAATACACCAGCTTTTCGAAATTGTCTACGATATACCAAGTATAATACTATTCTGTGAGATTTTTGAAAAGATAACCTAAGAGTAATTTTTCACTGGCTGAGTTAAATGAAATAAGTGAAAAATGTTTTCTCACACGCCACTGGGGCCTGGGTATAGGTCATGTGACCTATGGGGTGGGCAGTTGTTCTCGTTGCGTCCGCCATTACCGACTTTCCCGCCCATCCACCCAAAGATTTTCAGTTTTTATCCAATACCAGTATAATGTACAAGCCTTGAACTTTTTTGTCATTTCCAGTCTTTAGCGTAATACTACTTGTTTTAGCCAAGGTCAGGCGGCAGCGGTCAGCTTGACATGGCTACCAGCAGTGGTGTGTGAGAAATAGGGTTTCCATTCACGGTTTCTTTGTTTGCTTCCATAAAAAATTACCAAGAAACGTTTGAATTGACCAGAAAATATATATTATAAATAAAAAAGTTTGTTAAAAGAACTCAGGTTTAGTGAACAGTTTGCTTTTTTGCCTCCAAAGCAAGTTTTCAGTTTAAAATGAAAACCACACGAACGCCAGGAAAGCCAACATGAAGGAAATACCTGGGAATCCAAGTCTGCTGGCTCCATCTGAAAGAAATAAAACAAACAAATTATGAAGGTTGCATTTCAAAGTTCACATCCTATTATTTTTGTTATAAGCTACTAACGTTCTTGAGTAAAGATAGACGAGAGAAGTCTCGGTTCAAAGATTTTGAAATTCATTGCTATAGTTGCACTGCAAATGTCCCTCTTTACATATTTACTTATCAGTTAGTTTGAAAGTTGTGTTTAAACCACGTGACAAGCTGTTCAAACTCTTTACCCGCGTGCTAGAGAGGGGGAGGCTTAAGGAGGGGTAGGGAGGGGGAGGAGAGATAGCAAAGTTTGTTTTAGCTTTTTTTCCCGACACAACTTCACCAGTCCTGGGTTTCTCTTCTTCGACTGTTTAACAGACATTCATCATCTCAAATTTATCAGGATAGAGGTCCAGTGACAGCTAGACAATTTTTGGACAGTTTTCTAAACCAGGAGAAACACAATAGCCAATTCTCAAGTCACAAGTTCTAACGAGTCGACGCCAATGACCAGCTATCACCATCACATACCTCTGGCTGTACAACAGGGTTACATGTTGTTCGATGAACCATTAAAGTTTCTCAACTGCCGTTAGAAGAATGTATTGTAGCCAGTAAGGAGAATTAACAACTCGATGTTATATAATGGGTCAATTATGTTAAAAGTTTAATTGATGTTAAAAAGTTAACAATATGAAGTGTGATTGTATTAGATTTTACTCACTGCACTCGCCCTTATGAGCCACTGAAACACTGTTCTTTTCCATTCAAGCTTTAGACTTCATTGAACATTCGTTACTGCACGTTTTATCATCCGTTCCACACACAGGATTGTAAACAGTCACACGCACGAAGTCATATTCACCCAAATCACGGAGGGTCTCGTGTTACATTCTAAATCTCTTCAACCTCTCGCAGCCACACGCTTAAACAACGTAACCATTAGTTGTTTTCCATGCAACCTCTAGTACCTTAAGTGTTTTTTTTTCTAACACAATCGGGACGTTTTAGGCCTGGAGTGGTTCATACTAGCGACATAACGACATAACGACATATTCGCTTATAAATATGGGTGACCCTCTATGAATTATATGCGCATTTTAGGCTCCCTTGGAACGTTCCAAATCAAAACTTGTGCCGGGAGAACAAAAACAAAGATCAAATACGTAACAAATACAATTTCCCTGTTTTCCGAGAAACACCACACACAAAATACGCAAAATTGCGGTCAATGTAATCTGTCAATGTAACTACTTCATTAAAGGAAGAGGGAGAAATTATTATTGGAATTAATTTCAACATTTTAAAAAAGCTATGTTAAATGACATCGTCTATAAAAGAGCCACATTAGAGATTCGATCATTACTCACTATCGCATTCCCCATTAAAGGCCACTAGTATTTCATTTAACTCTAGAGCAAATAATATTTGCAACAAAGGGGTTGGCCTACACAGGGTCAAGTGCACAGTATGCCAAAGCTATGAGACTAAGAGTATTTCTCTTTCCCCCACCCATGCCCCGGCCGCAATTGGATGTTACTCCCAGCACTAAATCTTCTGGTGTTCATTGGGTAAGAGATATTCAAATGTTTTGTTCTGTTTTATTTCGCTCGCGCTCGCGCTCGTGTATCGCGTTTTGCGCTCTGCCACGTTAATCCGCTTGTTCTGCAGGCTATCTAAGAAATAAGGAAACATTCCTAGGAATTAAACATCAAATATATACATATATATATATGTTTAACTTGGTATCTCGAAACGGTGTTCAAGTACAAAGCCATTATGAATCAGGCCCCAGTTGTTCAGAGAATGCACAACACTATCTGGACCTGATAAATCACTATCTGGTGGATAGCGTGGTTTGATTTGCCAAACACCTATCCGCCGGATAGCGGTTTATCCGATGGATAGCGTTATTCACCCTTCGAACAACCGGTGCTTGATGTGTATCAAGTAGTAAAGTCTCAACAACGGTTCTCTTTGATCCTTTTACAAGATGTGACCAGACTTGTGATGGTGCACTTGCCCCGATGTCCAGGTCATCAGGATTTTCTTCATCAATCTGAGCCCCAATCAACATTAAGATCTTTCCATCAACGTAGATGCATGGCGACTGAGATGAGAGCAGGAAAGGCACAGGCAGCCCAACATGGCAAATTGCTGTGCAACTGTTCACATCATACAGGGTTATTCTTCTACTCTTCGTCACGGCAACAATCTGAAAAAAAGAGAAACAAGTGGATAAATTTGGACAATGTCTGCTTTGGACTGCTTGGGCTGAGAATCAGCCGATACGTTGCTAGGAGTCCATCGCTTGCAACCCATTCCTCTTGGGACATTCACTTGCAACTGCTCTTTTCCCCAGAATAACCGGATGAGAAAATATTATTTGATCCTCCCACATGAATCAATCGATTCCGAAACGGTTTTAGTTATTGATAAACCAACGAGCACATTTCAGTGGTCACTGCAGTCTTCGGCACGATGGCTAACTTACGGATTCTACTGATACACAAACTCTCTCTAGATGCAAAAAGGTTATCCAGGCACCGGTAAGAGGTGTCAAAATGCGCAAGCAGNCTGGAAAAACGGATCTAAATAAAACCAATCTATTCCTTTCCTGACTTGGTTGATGGGTTATGCTACAACGGGACACTAACTTTGATAGTTTGTTCTAGGCTTTGCACCTCATCAACTGTCAGCCAATAGAAACCTTTCGTAAAAGCTCTTCATTTCACTGTGATGTTAGTAATTACCAGCTTAAAGGCAAGTCTGAGATGGACGGGGCTTCAGAGTGGAGATGACATTCATGCACCAGGAGAAAAAAAAAACTGGTAGAGAGACCAAGGGCTCTTCTAGCCCGAGTAGCAAGCGTTCCTGTAGAAAGAACTTTTCCGCATTCCAGGCTGTGTTTAAATCGGAGCGAGAGCAAAAATTTGATGAAGCAGGGGGTGGTGTGGTGGGGCACCACCACCCCCTGCTTTGTCGAGTTTTTGCTCTCGCTCCAATTTACACGTGGCCAGAATGCGGCCCTTTGTACAGGAACGCTTGCTATGCAGGCTAGGGGTCTTGCCGTTATTGTTACTGCCTCCCTGATCAGTACAGCCTAACAGTCTGATTCTACTTACCAGGTGCAGACTCTAATCCTGATGGAACTAACCTCCCAGGTGTTAAGAAATGTATTTTAGGAAAGCTGTAATAGAAGTAGAATGCTCATATTAAATTTACAGTAACTAATTTTCATACAGTAAGACTGCATGAAACTTCAAAAAATGAGGATAATGGAAGAATTATAGTGTGACAGGAACGTATGTAGCATTACGCCATGATGCCTTCAGTAATAAGATTTCACGATATTATGTGAGGAGGATTCACGGGACTGAAGTGGCTAGTAACCTTGTCAGATCCTCGTCATTTTTATTCAGATACTGCAGTTCATCCTTGTGAAGCTGATGGAATGTTTTATCACAGCTATCAAAAAACTGTGACATTAACACATGACTAGAACCACTGCCAATGACATTTCCTTCGGAATCAGTGGCTTTTAAAGCTGCAGAGCAGTTAGTGGCTGCACATGGGCCAACTGGAGCAGGGGGTCGCACACGTAGTACTGCTGTAGGCTTAGTGAACGAGACTGCTGAGAGGCCAGGCTGGTTCTGACCAGCCTGAGCAGAGCTTGGTCTTGAACCTGGTGGAGACTAACAGAAAACATAGAATACATTAGCACTGTTTGAAAGGCTTGGCTGGTTATAGTGTACAAGTAAGTTCTTATCAGGTTAGTGTGGACTGTCATGTCTGTCTTGAGGCTCAGGTAGTTTCCCAGGTGGGTGCTAAGTCAGGTTTAGTCTAGTCTGTTCATCAACAAAGGATGCAGTTTTGAACAAAATTCTTACATTTTCAGATACATGTAAATCTCCGAAAAATATTTTCATAGCACTCAAGCATAAACTTATGCTTAGTTGTTACTGCTCCATACTAGATCACCAAGCTTCTTTTTGTATGATTTTTGTAACTAACAAACTTCCACATAATTTGCAGAGTNTCACTGTCTGTCTTATAACCATGCTTTATTCATCACTTTTTGAAAAGTCAACAATATTTAATTTTAGCCTACTGTGTACATATACAAATTGTCTATCAACAAGTTGCTAGTACATGTAGCTCAGCAGAGATCTTTTACTTTTCTGTCACTGCTGCTTGGTTATCAACCTGTAATCAGGTGTTCAGGGGAAGGAAAAACCAAAAAATGCCTGATCACAAGTAACTTGGTCAAATGAGTCTTGCAGACAAGTGATAGCTGTTTGGTCCTCAGGTCAAATGGTTTACTTCAATCAGTGATTAGTTAATTTGAGAGGCTCGTCACAATGAGAATGATTGTTGCTGTCTGTGACAGAAGTTTTCCTAATCCTTCATGTTGCTGTGTTCTTTAAGATTAATGCCATATTTACCTTCCCATCCAACTCCAACATATCCACCATCCTGACTTATTTCAACAAGTTTTGCAACAGTCTGCTTGTTCATTCCTTCCTGTAGTTGAAAAAAAACAACAACAACAACAACATAAAGTGAAGCATCAAAATTTTAAACAAAGTAATTTTAAAAATTTAATCAGGAAACTCACAACCTACCTGTTCATTAAATGTTCTTATAACCAGAACTTTATCCCCAGTGAAACAGAATAACTTAGCAAAACCTACAAAATAGCACAGACAACACAGTAAGATACTGTACTTGTAGAGGACAACAAACAGATCGTACAAACCCACATGTACATGAAGATCGAGAAATCTGCATTGAATTGTAATCGTATCATATTTTACAAAAAAAAAAAAAAGGAAAAAAGATTACAGAAAATCTTATAGAGAGTGGCCAGGTGCTGCTCTACATGCAATGCTTCTTTCTAGCATTTTTTTACAAATTTTTAAAGATTTATCTTTAAACTTGAAGAAACCTCTGTTTACTACATGAAGCAGTCTGAAGTTATGTGTTCCTTTATCTGTATGTATGTCACTGCTCCTTTGTTCGCAAGAGGAACTGAGAAAAGACTAAAGCATATAGTGAGTCAAAGGTGCAAGAAAGGGGAAGTTTACTAAAGTTATTTTAAAATGTAAATTATTTTCTTCACAGAAGTCTTTGAGTGACTATTAGTCGAGTGAAATGAGCAGTTCAATGCTGACACATGCATGTATGGGTTATTGTCCAACCAAGAGATGGTTACATGTACGATTGCTAAATATTGGCGAACAACTTTTTTGTATCTTTAGAAAGAGACAGGATCACTTGTAAACAAGGTCCATAAACATGCAAAAAACTGTTCAGGCCAAAATCTTGCCATCTTCACTGAACAGGATGTATACAGGAAAATATTATCTTGCAGGGTTGGACAGAAATTTGCCTCTCCATTTTGGCAAACCAGTTTGTTACCCTAGGGAGCTTTCAATTATGCCAGAACAACTGGTCAGAGACCAGTGGGACTAAACGAAGTAAATGGAACTACTGTACATTTTCCGATGATACTAGGCCAAGCCAGAGGAATGGCTATTACCATTTTTTTAATTCCTGCCCCAAATTCCCTACATAAGTGAAATCTACTGACGAGTCAAGCAGGGTTTGTAAAAATGGAACAGCAAATTTTGGTCGGACCAGTCCGACCAATCAGAGTGGACCTCCTCCAGGGATGGTCCCAAATATTCTGGTTGGACTGAACCAAAACAAACCTTTCCATTTGAGTTTTGACTGGAATTACTGGAATTTTTGGCATAATCAAGGGCACCCCTATACTTCTCTTCAGAAGATTTCACTTACTGTACGTGGGGGGTTGAGGAAAGGAAATGAAAATGGTAACAGCCATTCCTCTCGGTTGGTCCTCCTTGATAAAAAAAAAATGTTGTTTCATTTATTTCTTGGTTAGTCCCACTGAGCTCTGACCTGTCGGCCAGGCAAAATGAAAAGCACCCTTACGTCCACAACCTTCAGTTTTTCCAGCGCTACAATCACCTGAATCATGCATGTAAGTTGACTCCCTTAGATTTGGTTCGGTGTAATTTTCCCCGGATAACTTGTGTTCCATGTTCCTTGAACCAAATCTCGTTCGGTGCATTAAGTTCATTAAAGCTTACCTTCATTATCCAGGGTAGAAATAAGATAAAACCCTTCCTGAAGAAAACAAGCTGAGATTTTTACTATGCTATTCCCTGGATCTTCAAACGAAGCAACGGTCGTACCCAACAAACTGTCTATCACTGCAAGTCCATTACTGTAACACAGAAACAGGTAGCTCCCATCAGCAACCGTACAAACACAAGCAGTTTTGTTGTACTCAGACAGCTGCTTTCCAAGATCAAACAACGGTAATACAGCCTTGGAGCGCTTCAAAGCTTTCCGTTCTTCAATGCCTTCAATAATTTCCCAGGCATCATCAAAAATGTGTCTCAAAGTCTTGTCAACAAGTCGAAATGGTTGAGGCAATTCGTCGAAAATTTGATCTGGATCTGCGACAAAATTATGTTCTCTTTCATCCTCTGAGGGTGGTGTTGCTGGTCGTTTTGGTTTCTTGCCACGCATTCTTAATACTTCAAAGGGTGTAAACGTTTTTAATTCTTTTAACGTCGTAGTTTACACGATGTGAAATGTCTTCGGAAACGTTGTTTTGCCGCCATTTTGGCTTTCCTTGACAACAAGAACTTTACTAGATCCAGTCTCCCACGAAATAATTCATCCTCGAGCCAGGTTTTTTCGTAGAAGGTCAAAGGTTCTTTCTCGTGATCGTGGAGTTTAGAAGTAGTGTGCCACTGTCCTTGCTCAGCTATCTTAAGTTAACTGCTGAATTCCTTCAATAAGACATGGACGTAGTAACAGCAGTAGTGAAATACAATCAACAGACTTTAGGAAGGGATAAACTTTGTAGGTAAGTGAATTTCATTCAAACTCTACAGGACTCTACTCTGTTTACGTGGCTTCTAATTACAATAAGCTTAAGTTTGATTAATTTTAGATCACCTCGCTGTATAGCTATGATTTTTTCTTGTTTTCAATTAAAAGTTGTATAAGTAGATGTTTGTGAAATACAAATTTTGTACTGCATTTTTCTGGTATCTTATTTCAATATTAATTGTCATCAAGGTCTTCACTTGAGACAATTCAGGGAGCATGTGGTACGACTAAACATACACTTTATACACTTACAGTAGTAAGTCGATTAACTCATATAACATGAAACACACAGAGATCGGTGTTTATTGTACGATACCGTTGTTAATCAGGCCTTCAATATGTAGAGACAAAGCTTGATGTTGGCCCATTGGGTATAAACACGCTACAACGTGATATTACTCAGCACTTTGGGGGTCTGATATTTAGCCATGCAATATCACGCTATGGTTTGATGACTTCACTTCAAATATGCATCTTGCAGTGTTCAATTTTGTGTTTTGTTTATTTTGTTCTGATTGATAGAAACACAAAGGGTGAGAAAAGCTGGCAAAAACTGAAACGTAGCATTTCACAGTTTAAAATGGTTTTTTAGTGTAAATCATAGGAATATTGTGCCAAGCTTGTTTTCATTCACTAGAAAGTAGAGTGCTGATGGAAAATGTTTGACTTAATTAAATGATTTATTTTGTAAACATTCTAATCTTTACTATGTTTGCTTGTCAAAGTAAGGTGACAAACTTGAGTAACATTAATTGTCATTTTTGATAAAATTGACCACTGAGGTTGCTTCATTCCCCTCAAAAACAGTAAGAAAGAATAAAGCACTACTTATTCAATTGCAAAAACAAAAAAAAATCAAGCACAAAAAATTTCCCAAAATCGGCCAGAGTAAGTGTCAAAATAGGTACAGGCGATTGGGAAAATCAGTCTCCCAGATAACCCAAGAGAGTTGGCATTTTGAAATAGTCTCAGAATATCTTCAGTCAAAGCCACCCACAATTTGTTGGCACAACTTCAGTTCAAAGGATAACATAGGTAATAGTATAGTTGTATATGTGGTTTTCTCCTATGTGTATTGGTCACAGACAAAAATTTCACTTAGTAATGTATAAAATTTTCCCATAAAACTAAGGATTGTTTTATACTAGAATAGTATTGATTCCCAACAAATTATATTTTACTACAACAGGATCATTCAGTATGCCTCCAGATTGTCAAGTTATCTTCTTCAGCAAGGTGGTGCAAGTGCCGATTGGGTAAACAGAGCAAAGACACTTGATAAACAAACAAGCACTTCAAGAAAACGTAAGATTCTGTCTTGTCATGAAGTTATAAGAAACACATCAAACCATATCTACCCTAAAGAAAGGTCATTAGAAATTCTGAGTGGGGAGAGAATAACGCAATGTATAAAGCTGAACTGATATTTGAGGGGTCCAAAGTTCAAGCTAAAAATCCATTGTGGGGAGGGGTATATGGATATAATCTGTGCAGAACAAATATTTGAACTGGCTGAAGTGATATTTGAGGGGTCCAAAGTTCAAGCTAAAAATCCATTGTGGGGAGGGGTATATGGATATAATCTGTGCAGAACAAATATTTGAACTGGCTGAAGTGATATTTGAGGGGTCTAAAGTTCAAACTAAAAATCAATTTTGGGGATGGGGTGGGGAGGGAGGTGGGGATAGGGTGGGGAGGGAGGTGGTGATGGGGTGGGGAGGGAGGTAGGGATGGGGTATGGAATAATTTGTGCAGAACAACATTCACAATGATATTAGTTTATCACAGGTTGTCCTTACAGAATATTTGTTTGTTATGGATGTGTGGTTCAAAAGATGGTTAATACTATTCATTGAATCAAATGTTTTTCACCAGCCATCTGATATGTGTTAGAGATTTATTCTGAATACCTTATGCATGTTTTGAAAAGTGGAGCAAGGCTGTCCTGGGAAACATTTCACTGGCATTAAATCATTGTCCTTGGAGAAGAGAAGCAGTACATCATTTAAAGTAAATTATATTACCCAGGAAAACAACACTAAGGCCAAATGTAGCCACTAACCCAGACCTTTGATCCAGAGTCACACACTGTAGTTACCTACTTACAGCAAGGTTAAGTCTGCATATGAACCAAGTGGCCCGTCAGGCTGGAGCTTATCTCCGGATTCTGTAGCCTGAGGTGACTAGGAGTATTTCTACACCCCCTGGATGGGATGCTAGTCCATCGCAGGGTTACCCAGGGCTCGATTTTCAGGAAAAAACCTTGGGGCCAGCTGGCCCCTAAGTTTTCAGAGTTAGTCACCAGCAAAAGTATTTCAGCAAAGAGCATGAAAAGTTAGTCACCGGTGAAAAAAACGCGGTCACATTGGCGACCCCAGCGGTCAGAACGTCAAGCTCTGTTACCCCCAGTATTAAATTCTCCAGTACCCATTTATACACCTGGGTGGAGTGAGGCACTGTGAGAGTAAAGTGTCTTTCCTGAGAAAACAACACAATGTCTCCAGCCAGGGCTTGAACCCAGACCGCCCCATCTGGAGCTGAGCACACTAACCACGAGGCTCTGGCACTGCCTCCACAACCTACTTACTGTAGTCCTCTTCAAAGTTTTAAGTGCACTCTGTTCATGAAAGGTCACCATGTCCTCTACGGACAAACATTAACTGTACATATATGTATATAGTTTGATGTATATTACTTAAACCAATGTGCTTCTTATATTATTCAGTCTTTAGGTTGGGAAAGAGTTTAGACATGATATTGGGAGCTGTACGAGCACAAGACATCCATCACGACAACGTCTTAAGAGTCCTCATCACATGCCGCCGCCTAACTTATACAATCTATTATATCATTGATCACATCACATGGGCCGCAAGACTGGGACTCTATAAGTCTACCCCAAAAGAGTGGTCAAAGTTTCAGGCAAAATTCTGGGTCATTGCTCTCGTCTTTGGCCTTCTTAGAAACCTGTACGACATCTTGAATCTAATTTTTGTTCCAAAAAAGAAGCAAGATGGTGGAGAAGAGAGCTTTGCACCAGGAAGTACTGTGGCTTCCCGACTGATGTCCCGTCCTCAAGTTTTGCTAGACACAGTCAAGAATTCAGCAGATTTCCTTTTGCCTTTCAATGTCATGGGTGTGATTGAGCTGAATGCTGGTGTAGCTGGTTTGCTTGGATTGATTTCGTCAATCGCCGGTGCTACCCCTGTTTGGATTCCTAACATGAAGCTGAAACCTTCTTAGAATCTAAAGAAAGCAAAACAATGTATTAACTTAAGACTAGTAACATCTATTTTTGCTATCAAAAAAACTTTTTCCTTTCATTCTCAAGGTCCCTCTTCTGTGAGTACATGTATGAACTGAAAGAGTCAGTAGTAAAATATTGTGCAAAATGTAATGGTTTCTAATTAATCTGAACATTTGATTTATTTAGCACTAAAACCTAATTGAATCAAGGTTTAGATTTTAGGACACTGTTCAGCATTGTCATCTGTGGGGGAATGGGCTGGTCAGTATTATGCCATCTGGGAAATATCCATACCCACCTAGGAAAAGGTTACTAAAAATACAGTATTTACCTAAGTGGAGGGTTTTAAAGGAAAATATGGACTGGAATGGGAAAGGTGTGGGGAAAACAGAAAAGAATCCACTAGATTGGATATGGATATTTTCTGGAACAATATATTTCATGCAAGTAGATTCACACACTTTTTCATAGAGTTGGACTTGAGATATAACACATAATTCAATGTTATTAGGTCATAGCCAGGTGCTTGTGTCTTAAAGTTATATCGGTGAGTGTTGCTCCTACATACATGTACACCCTTTTCAGTACAACAGTTCAACACATGATATATTCATTAACTTATTAAGAATAATCTTTCAATGGCTGAGTGAAACGAAATAAGTGAACAATGTTTTTCTCACACACTGCTGGGGCCTGGGTATAGGTCATGTGACCTGTGGGATGGGCAGTTGTTTCTGTTGTGTTTGCCATATTTGCTGACTTTCCCACCCGCCCTCCCAACTTTTTTTATAATGCCAGTATAATGTACAAGCCTTGAACTTTTTTCATTATTTCCAGTCTTCAGCATAATGCTACTTGTATTAGCTTTGATTTTGCAATCAAGGTCAGACAGCGACAGTCAGCTTGACATGGCTACTAGTGGTGCGTGAGAAACACTGTTTAACTGGGCATTTACAAGGTGCGGACATAGATCATCCAAAGGAATCATACAAGATAACAAACCATAGCAAAGTAATAGGATGTGGCTCGAGTATAGGAAATCATGCATGTGATAAAGTTAGCCAGAGCTGGAACTCTTTTGGGCAACATTACAGTAACTATAAAAAATAATTTGCCTTTGACATGTTGTCTTCATAGCTTAAAACCATAAAAATCAGGCAGAAGGTTAGTGGTCAACTTTTAAGGATCTCTTTAGTTTTGAGAACAATAAAGATTACAAGTATTATTTAATAATCAAACGTACAGTAAGCATGCCTATANGTTGTTCAAAGCCTGATTAAGCTAACCCAGGATTAGTGAAAGGCTTGATTTCAGTGAGGTGTTCTGTTTACATTTTTTATCCTTCAGCTTTGAGTTTGAATAATCTCAAACTACACAAATCATAAGCAGAAAAATTACATTAAAAAATTAATACTTAATCAGTTCACTTTTAATCCTAGGTTAGTGTTAAACGCCTTTTGAACAACCTGGTCAAGTTTATAAGTATTAGAGCCTAGAACTTTTACTTTAAGTATAAATATCCCATATTTAATTTACTGTATTCATTTTGTCTTATATTTTTATATATTCTGATACAATACCTGAGCACTGACAAGTCCTGCATCCATAACTGTCATATTTATAGAGCTGGCCTGGGCATGCAACACATTTTCTCAATGGGCATGCATCTGGAAATATTTAATGTAAATGACATTAAACTTAAGAACGTGGACAACTGATGCACTATAAGTTATAGAACACTTGACTGTTCAAGAACATACTGAACAAAATTGGCTTAAAGTCCTAACTGCAGATGCCAGAACCCTGGCTAGTTTCCATTCAAAAATTAGCCCCATGGATGGGGTGCTAATCCATCACAGGGTTACCCCCAGGATTAAATTTGCCAGTACCCAGGTATATACAGCTGGGTGGGGAGGGGCATTGTAAGGCTCATAGTAACATGTCTCGTCCAAAAGCACAACACAACAACCCAAACCAGGCCTGAACCCGCACTGCTTGATCCAAAGTCTGGGCACTAACCATTAGGCCAAAGTGCCCCGGCCTCTCCCAACAGGTACCCTGTTGAATGACAGAACACCTGGACCCTGTAAGCTACCAAGTCACCCATCAAGACTACTTCTCTAGAGGTGGAAAAAGAGTATATGTGTCTAGCCCAGGAAGATCCAATAGCCCCATTATGTGGAGGGCAGAAAACAGTCTGCTTGTGAAGTCCAAAAACAAGATTCATGTACATAGCTGGCAAACCTTGCTTGATCTAATTAAGACCACATAAAAATTGCTGTTTCTGAGATGAAAATGTTTGGGGTTATTGATAACAAAAATTAATAAAACAACAAAATAGAATCAAACATTAACTTACATCTAAGTTGAGCTTTGAATCCTTCATAATATATTGGAGGATTTGTCTGTAACAGTACACTTGCACTGAAACAGATTTTCACAGCACAGTTTAGAATACATTTACTTACCATTTTGATATTGGCAGATATGTTAGTTTGTGCACTTTGCTATTTATATTATGTTTTTATTGATCTTATTTATATTATGTAAGTAATACATCTGACTGTATTCGCAAAAATGTGCCCTTGGATTTGAAGATATAATCACATCTTCAAGGTAACAAATGCATTTATTTTTTTCTCAAGCATCTGAGTGGGCCGGAATCCTAAAGCCTTGAATTTGATTGGCTAATCATACGCACGTGACC